CAAAAATAATTTTACGCTCAACACATAGATTCAAGTCAGATTTTGCAATCCAATTGACACACTTGTTTTCCTTGCATGTATAATTCACCTTGATTTGCCAATCCTCGGGTAGAAGCTTAATTGCATGCCGTACTTGCCACTGATGACCATCGTTACCCTCAATTGTCTCCTGGACTTTATGAACTACAAACTTTCGACAAAAAGTTTAGTGAAATTGAGACTATGAGGGGCATAAAAGTTTTACACGTAATACGCCAACATTGGTAGGTATAGGCTAGTATTTGGGATTTAAATGTATAAAACACTGTATTGTAAATTTCAACTCCTGTTCATCCCCTTTTCACCTACATCAGTTCCGCTTTCACCTATTTGACGTTATAAGCTTGTTTAAGAATGTCGATTTTTTTTTTTATTTCATTGTATTAAATTTTGCAAATAGTATCGAGTATTGTATTCAACAAGCATTTTGAAGTATTTTTACTACTTATTATTGACTTGTTACAGTGATCACTTATGGTTATCCAACTTTAAATTTTTAACACATAACAAGTCATACTAATTACACACGAGGAAGAAAAAATTATATACATTATTGGACGAGAAAGCTAGTTAATAACAAGCCTTCTAAAAATTGAGTCATTACTCCAAGAGCATGCCTAGGAGTTGGGCCAGTGGAGGCAAAATTATTTTAGGTGAGACACAAACATTATATATTTTGTTGATAACGAAATTTAATTTGCTAGTATATGTAATCATAAAAGATAGGTTTTATTAAACGTGCAAGAGTGGAGATTTGAACACTAACTATTTGTTTAATTTAAATAATAAGGTTAAGGAACAAAAAAGTCCTCCGTGTTATCAATCAGATGCACCTCATATCCTAAATTATTTTTTAGCGCAATTTCACCCCTAATATTTTTCAAATTAGTATAATCTCACCCTACGGTAAGGGTTTGACCGTGTTCTCCGTTAAGTCAAAAAGTTTGATCGTGAGCTGTTTAGCTGGCTTGCCACATTAGCCTCCAGCCTTCCACGTTTACCACCGCTCTATTCTGCATTTCTGCCCCTTCCACTTCCCTCTTCCAAACCCAAATCTTGTTCGTCTTCCTCCCTTCCTCAATCAGAAACGCCAGAACAATCAAGCCCAGCACATTAAGAACACAAGGGAATAACAATCAAGCCAGAACAATCAAACCCATCAAATGAAGAACACAGGATAAGAACAATAAAGCAAAACAAAAATTTGAACCCAACAAAACTTAATGAATGAACCCGTAAATTAGCGTCAGCGTGGATCATCAAACAGATCTGGGCAGCAGCGAGAAGGAAAGAAATAAAAGGAGAAACACTGAAACAGATCAAACCCATAAATCAAACAATCATTAGCGTCGATCAAGTTGCATTTTCTTCCTCAACAATCCAACATTGATCAAACCCACAAATCATTGTCGATCAAACGCAAAAACCAAGTGAACTAAATCAAACCTATTGAATCCCAAACAAACCTGGGCAGCAGTGAGAATGCATTCGGCTTGAGAGAAAACCCTAAGAAAAGCTTTAAGCTTGCAAATCCGGAGTTCTCTTTTGTTGATACCCACTCTGTTATCGTTCAAGATCGGGAGAGTAAGACCGAGTGAAAGAACCCAACTCACCTTCGTTACAAGAAAACCAGAGTAAGACCGAGCATTAATGTCGACAAAGAAGCCTAAACTAAGCCTCTCCGAGTGGTTTAGTAGCGACAATGTGATTGTGAACCAGAATACGCGAGCTTTTCCTTAACTCTGTCTCGATCTGTCTCTGTCGAGCCAAATCTAGGCTTTGGCTTCTGACTCTAAATCAAGGCGAACCCATCTTGATCTCAACCCAGATCAAAAATCAACGAACCTTTCTTGCTTGAGCCAAATCAAGGCTTTGGCTTCGGTTTCTAGAACAATGACTAAATCCCAAATATTTGAATCGAGCACTAAACGTTGAACCCTTCTCGAACAAAATTCAGATGGGTTTAGATGAGATTCTGATGGATGAGAGAGAGAGAGAGAGAGGGAGGAAGCTAATCGGGGAAAAGCAGTGTGAACGTCCGGTGGCATGCCAACATAGCATTTCACGGTCAAATTTATTAAGTTAATAGTCAATCCGGTCAAACATTAACTGAGATTATATTAATTGGGGCGAAATTATATCAAAAAATACTTTAGAAAAAACATCAATGACATTTTTATACTTAACCCTAAATAATAATGAAATCCCTACCATATATGATAATTTGATTTGCTAAAGATATTAAACAATAAATTGAATATATAAAGATATTATTTTAAACTATGAAAATTATTTTAGTAAAAATCTAGAAAAAAAATTAAAAAAAAGATTCCACTAAAAATATAAATCCCAATCCTCTCTTGCTATCCACTGTTGTAAATTTTCATGATCTTTTTGTCAATTTCACTCCTCCTAATACTTTAAATTTAAAATTTTAAATTTAATTATACTTTATATTTTCTTTCACAAATTCTTCACAACAACTCTCCACCTGGAGCTAAGTGACTATTACTTTCGTCTCCCTTTTTCTTTCTCTTCCCTTATTCATTCCTTAATTAGTGGGTTTAAAACTGGCATATTAACAAAGGCAAATTAAAAATCAATTCATATTTATGTAAGGTGTCACAAATTTGTGGTGACAATTGCCTATATCCTCAAATATGTGTAAATCTGTCTTTCATTGTTTATCTCCAAACTAAAAGTCTATCTAATTTCACTTTGAATGTGTTTTTTGTCAAATCCAATCAACTCTCATGTTTCTTGTAAATGAATTGTTATAGAATGTGAACATAAAACCAAACACCTAGTAAAATTTCAAGAGGCTTGAACATGATTTGAAAAAAGATTTAGATTTTCAAATCCTATGTCATCTATTAATTAAGTTGGCATGAGAGGAAATTTTTAGACAACACTCTAAAATAAAAATGATCATCCCATAGAATTAGTTAATTTGCACACAGAGCATTTTTATTAACCCCATTTATAATTTTCAACTAAAAAATATTTCTTCCACATTTATAATCACTTTCTCCACTTTCACATTTTGAACATTAAGGGTGGATCATGGAGGTATTAATCTTGACCTGGTCTTTTTAGTTAAATGTAATATTTTCAAGTCCCTCTAATTCGGGCTTCAAAAATTAAAATTTAATCACGTACCTGAGGATATCATGGCAAGGATAATATTATACTGTAAGGTAATCTGTAGCTATTTTTTGCCAGTTAGACAAAATCAAATGATGTTAACTGTGAAAAAATACAAAAATATATAATTGATTAGCGTGTGAATGTTTCGGATTATTTTGCTAGATAAATGCTTGCTTCTTCTATCCACGTGTTTATATGTATGTGTGCGTACGTAAATTCATCCAACAATTTCACCACCTCATCCCACTTGTTATAAGTGGTACTATTAATTTTCTGATTGCTAATAGCTGTATTTTTATTAAAAGCAACTTTGTTTGAAATATATGTGAGAGATTAGCTTATTCTGCTAAAGGTGAGGCTTATATACTTAGTCTTATATAATTTACATACTTCTATCAAATCAAATTATGATATGTAAATTTTAATATATTAGTTTAATCAATAATCAAAAATTATTATAGAATAAATAATCTATAAAAGATCCGGACATTATAATTTAATTGAATACAAATGTATTAAGTACATAACGTTGAATATATAAGTTTTCTCCTTCTGCTAAACCCAATCTTATTAGTAAGAAACACTAACAATTAACTACTGAAAGTTAGTTAAGTTGGTAAAGTCTTTGCTAATAACTTATAAATCATGAATTCACATCTTGTTATTAATATAATGACCTTACTAGTAAGTGATATATGAGTGTCTTTGTAAGATCTTTTGAATTTGGAGGTGCATGTCTTGACCTTAGCAAGTCCTTGAATTCAATCTGCTTAAATTTGGAGAGGAAAAAAAACACTAACAACTAAACATGACATGGTAAACATTTATCTCTTTCTTGGACAATGTTTTAGCTTAGAACACAGTGAAAAATGATTAGAGATTATTGAATATTCGACATATAACTTAAATACATTCATTTAATAAGTGTCTCGTCTATGATCAATGAATTTTATTGATATTTTAAAATTATCAAGATATATTTTTTTCAAAAATTTTAAAACAATCATCACAATTAATTCTCTTTATTTTTAATGTCTCTTCCAAAAAATTAATATTTTATACTTTTTGAATATTTTATGACAAATTTTTTAACAATTATTTAATTAAATCAAACAACTTACCAAACCTCAAAAGGAGTGGTGAGTTGCATAGATTTTTTTTTATTTTATAAATTTGCAGAATAAAAATAATTATATTTACATATATATTTTTATCTACCATTTTTCAATTAATATATGCTCATTTATGATTAAAGTATATTTTTTATCTCTCAATTTTATATAAAATTTTATATTAATTTTTTAATTTTATAAAATATTTTTTAAATTTTTTTAATTCTAACATTGTTATTTTTCATCACAAATTTTTTATATTAAATTTTAAAATATTAATAAAATATTATTAAATGTTATATGACTTTTGGGACACATACTTATGAAAAAAGTATAACTTAGCCTTTGTTTATCTATGCATGCTTACGAGAAAACTTCACCATTCAAAATAAAATACTCCCTTCGGTCTCATTTATAAGTCTCATTTTAAAAGATATATTTGGTCCTATTTATAAGTCATGGTGCGTCTTTTTAGGTAATATTTGAGAGATATTTCTAAAATTACCCTTTATGAGAGAGAAAAAGCAACAGAATATTACTTTTTAAATTTATTATATAGGGGTATGTTTGGAATTTTACTTACTTTTATTCCTTGTACTTTTATTGTATTGGTATTGATGAGATTGATAAAAATGATTTATAAATAGTATCGGAGTGAGTAATAACTTTTCCTCTAATTACTTTAAAACTAATCACAAATTTAGGGTAAATTAATTGTACGATGTGAGAGGCAGGAGTGCAACGAACTCAGTTCCGGTTCCCCCCGGAGTAGTTACCAGAAGCCCCCGAGTTCAGAGCGCGAGGCAGCGAAGAAAGCGAAAAGGAGGAACATCGAAATCGATTAGGGAATACAGGCTGATAGAGCAAGGGAAGAAGAGGGACGCACACTAAGACATCGTCCATGGCCGATCCCTACTACAGCAGATACGGCACTCCCCCAGACCCAGGTATTGACAATGATAATTCCATAATTTAGATACGGTGCCGTTGATATCAATAGGAAACCGGCGGCATAAAAAAAATGAAACCTTCAAGTTCGTAGTGAGTGTCAGTTGGGGAGGGGAAATAGAAATCATTCAAGAAGCCTGATATAGTCTTTAGTGCGCCTTCCACGGTCACTTGGCTAGTGGAGTTCACTAGTCGTTCCGACCTGTAGTTCTGAATTGACCAGAATCTATATTTTTGTCTACCAATTACCACGTTTTTAGATCCGCTGAACAATGCTATCTCCAGGTTGTACTACCAGGCTTTTCTAATTTAAATTTAAAAGCACGGTCAACATGATTCTGGAAGCATCATTTTGTTAGCAATGCCTGTGATTGAGTGTTACTTTTTTTCCCCGGTGGTAATATTTAACTTGTGGTTATGAGAAATTTTTGCTGCCTCTCGTTCGTAGAAAGCCTTACTGTTAGGATCCTAGAAAGTTAATATTCAAGTTGCTATGCGAGAAGTGTTTATTTAATCTTGAATAGCAAGACTCTTATTCGGTGTCTTCTTTTGGTTTGTGCTACTGCAGTCTGAAAGCTCGCGCTTGCTCTCAAAATAATCACTCATATCGGTAGCAAACTCAGAAAAGCAGTGTTATATGTTAATCTTGATGGGAGTTTTATTATAGAAAATATTATAGTTTATACCTGAGTCAAAAGAAAAACTGGTGAAAGTTACAGATTTTTATCTACCTGAAGGTAGTTACGTTTTTCTTAACTAGAAACCGGTAATGGATTTTTTTTTTTTTTTGTTTTGGTTGGTGGAGGGGTTGTTTCTATTGTAGGTTCAAAGCCAAACTAAATCCTTAATATAATATTACTTTTTTTCAAGGAATCAATCACCGATTATAGAGTCTAACATCCGAAACACATTCTTCTGCCCAGTAATTTCATCCATCTCCCTCCAAAGCAAGTTCTTTTCACCATGTTTACATTAGTTGGAAAGTACTCTATACATACTCTCTCAACCTACAGAAGACTATTTTTAATGCTGAAATTTTCTGGACACTGACCTTGTGACTTCTAGCTGCCTGTCCTTTTGTACTGTATTTTACTATTGGTCACAAAAATAACGTTTTGTCTGGTTTCTTTGGTTGTATCAGCAAGCATTCCAAGGAGTAGCTTTGCTGGTTATATGCCATCTGAAGCACCATCATTGGCTTCTCCTCATGTATCGAGCTTGACAGATTTTCAGGGCATCGGATCAGATTACCTACATGGAGATGTAAAACCTTTAGACAATCTAATATTTAGTTCACGTGAAATTAATGTGAGTTAAAATTTTCTCTTGGACCACGTGCAGACAAACTCGTTTCACACTGGTTCATATGGTATTGATAATGGTGTGGGAGATCACACAAAGGGCTATGCATCTCATGAATATTCTGATCTAATAAGGAAAAAACGAGATCTCTCACAAGGGATCAGCCCAGGAGATCCTGATATAACTAATGGAAGATCAGCATTAAAAAGTACATACAATGCTCTCCCAAATTCAGCAGGGGATTCAAACATTATATTTGTTGGGGGACTTCCGAGTGACTGTACTAGAAGGGAAGTTGGCCGTATCCTTTGCTGCATATTTACTTGTGTATCTTCTCTTTATTTCCGTTACTTGCCTCCTTGGAGTATTGATAATGAATCAATAGGAAGTTCTTGGAAGTTGGATTCTTGTTGGATCTATATTATTTTTCTAGCCATGATTTTTAAGTTATGGTATAACAGAAACATTTCCTAGACAAATGATGTCCCATTTCAAGGTTATGGAAATGAAAGTGGAAGTAACTGAAATTTCACTAATTTTCTTTTCATTATTCTTTATTAGCCTTGATTCATATCTACAGATCTTTTCCGCCCCTTTATTGGCTATAAGGATATCCGAGTTGTTCACAAGGAACCCAGACGTGTAAGTGTACTAATCAAGATTTTTCCTTTGAATAAGAGGCTCAAATAATAATGAGATTGAATTGTATATTCTCTGTGGATTTTCATCTACCATTGGCTTGTAGCTATTTCTGGTTTACTTTGAGATTTAAAAATGTTGCAGATCATGATACTCATGTGCCTTGAGTTCTCTGCAAAATTCTTATTCAAGTTATATATGTGTGAAATGTGATTGGAATAATATGGATTTTTAATATTCTGTTTTGGAAAAGAATACCTTTGATATAATGGGACATGACAAAATGATTATTATGCGCTGTGAGCTATAGACTTTTCCCTCCGCCACGTTTCATGGCATAGCTATAGGTTCTAATTATATTATAACGTGGGGTTAACCTATAATATTTCTCTTTATATGGTCAATTAATATTTATTAGTTTTTAAGATGATCAACCATACTGCAGAGTGGAGACAAGGCTTCCGTTTTGTGCTTTGTAGAGTTCACTGATTCCAAATGTGCTCTCACTGCTATGGAGGCTCTGCAAGGTAAGGTCTTTCTGTATTATGATTGTAATTGTAATTTGAGATCTGTCCTTCGGAGAGCAAAATATTTTCTGTGTTGTGGTTATTTTCTCTGACATTATTTATGAGAGAAACTGAGAATGGAAATTCTCTTGATGTCTGTGAATCCATTGGCAGTGGCTTTTTTCCCCCTCCTTTCTTTCTTTATGTTTTGAATGGGTCTTTTATACCTGTGTTTATTTTTTCATTCTTGGTCAACAGAAGCCCCCACCCTTCCCCACCTCTCACGCCACCAAAAAAAAGAAGGAAAAACACATTTTATAAATATATGTTGATTTTATGCTCATTTAAGTATAATTGCTGATATTTATACTAGTGGCCGCTACACTAACAACCAGTGCTTAAACTTTGTCATATTACGTTTAAAGTAAAAGATGCTTTATCATGTAACATTTGTGCGACATATTAGTCATTTACTTGAATGTGATATTTTCTGCAGGCTACAAGTTTGATGATAAAAAACCTGAATCGCAGACCTTAAGAATCCAATTTGTTCACTTTCCTTTCCGTCCACCCCCTGATCAAGGTAAGCAGCTCCTTATTGTGCCACGCTGATTGGAATGGCTATTATGGGATGGGAACGTGTTTGATATTGTCAAGATTAACTATATTAATTTGGGAAATCTGCTCTTGGATTCCAGAATTAGATCACTTGCTTGGGTGGTAAATGCAGAAATATATGGATGGTAGTTATGGCATGTTTATAAGCTGAATCTATTGACGATCAAATTGGCATTATCATTTAGTTTTTAGTCCATGTAGGATGTGGACATTTACCATGTTCACAATTTGAGGAGTTGCACTTTCGAAGTCGGGTCTTATTTTGTCCCTAAATCACTTTATGCATTATCATCTTCAGAGTATGTTACTGTAATTTATTTCTATGGTGTTCTCATCTCGCTCCCAAGCCTGGGGGTAGTTTGAATAGTAAATGGAAGATTAAAAGGGTTTGTTCCAATGTATGCAGATAATTAGCCCCAAAGCAACCGCTGATCCTCGGTATTCTAGCTTTATGGTTGGGCATCAAGTGCATTGCAGATGCACTTGTAGTGACTTGCCACTTGACGTGCCTAGTTGTGAACCCCCTTGGCTTGACTGATGTAACTGTCATAATCTAATGTCATCTCTTTACATCCTAACGTTCTTTTGGCACATTCTTAATGGAGTTGGGGGAACATAGCTAAAAGGCCATGCTAATTTTCTTTCCTTCCACGATAATGCTTTGATCACTTTGCCAGGGAAGTCAGCTTTTGAGGGGAAAAAAGAGCCTTAGTTCACAAATCCAAATTGCAAATATGGAAAGTGGAATGATAATAAGAATATAGTAGTTACATGCAAACTCGCGCTATGATACATGCCGTCACGCTTGCGTGTTGTAAAAAGGGTTTCAAAAAGCTTTCATCCAAACAACATTTTATGTTATTGGAACTGTAGTTATTTTGAGATATTCTATAATTTTTTTTTTGTTGGTTTTGCGAAAACGATTTTACGCAAATAAGTTTAAATTTCAAGAAGAAAAATTTTAAAAATCTCCTGAGCAGTCAAGTTTAAGGGTTTGAGGTTACAATCATGAAAAAATATTTATTGCTCGGTCTTATCGTTTGGCCTGATATTGTTCAGTGATTTTTAGAATTTATAATATTTTTATATTTTGTGTATCTTTATCACTATTTTCTCTTTTTGATTAATTTTTATCAATAATGCACCTAATTACTTTAGAAGCTATTTAGAGTATCTTTTCAAATTGATAAAAATATTATTTTTTAAAATGTTGTTATTGTTATTATTATTAAAAACCCAACTAAACATTCTAAATTTTGTTGGAAGCGTTTAAAAAACAAGACAATTGAGACTTCAATTATGAGAAATTTAACATCTTGTTAACGATTATTCGCTTTTGCCGATGGATTAATTTAACATAATTTTTTTGGAAAAAGGACAAGGCATCTGTTCGTAGAATGTATCACAGAATAGCTCATGGCAATTTGCCGCCAAAAATAATAATACCAACACAGAGTTGTACAGGGCAAATACTTAATCCGATTAATCCGGGTTGATTCTGCAACATTTCTTATGCCAACAATTTAATTAGATGATTTGACAAATTGGATTAAATCTCCCATATAATTGAATGTTTAAAATATGTGATGGTACATAATTAGCATATGGTTTTTTTTTTTTGGGACAAACAATTAGCGTATAATTTAGCAATGAAGAACATACAATTATATACCTCGCAGAAAATCTTAAAATCTTGAACTACTGCTCCGTCATGTTTCAGCAAACCAAAGCATTTATCGCAGAGAGATGTTATTTATAAGGTCAATCTTGTTGTTGACAAGGTCAACGAGAAGCACTATGAATGAAGATACCTGAGTGTGTTCCTCGCTCTTCTGGCCTCCTACTTACGAAACGAGACAAAGTTAGTGAACTTTCGTGTGGCTGAATATAAAACCTCTGCATCGTCAAGCCAATGCATACAGAAGAAGCATGTCTCTCTTTTTTCCCTCACGTACGCAGAAGCATGTCTGTGGTTATCTTTGCTCATAAGATTTCATTATACTGCAAAAGAATCCATGGAAAGCGAAGGATGGGGCAAGGGAATATTCTACATAATTCAACATATCTTGCTTCTCTTCTGTCATTAGATGGAACTATAGGATTCTAGTCTGGGAATTTTACACATAACTTAGCGCTCCATTAAGACTACAAACATACAGCTGGTGAAGGTGCGAGCAAATCTTTCACAAAGCCCCTTCTAGTAATGATAAATGACTTTGACCAAATAAAAAGATAATGATAAATGACTTCAGTATCACTGTAGAAAAACAAACGAAACTACAGAAAAGAAGTGCCAGCAAGGCCATGGTGTAAAAGATTGTGAGCAATTAGGTCCCTAGCCTTCATGGAGTTTTCTGATCTCAAAGCAACCTGTGGCACAATCTTATCATCTACAAGGTCAACCTTGAGCTCAGGATCCATTTCTTCATTCTTAAATTCACATATATTATGCAGAACGCAGCACGCTCCAAGGATAAGAGGCAAATCTTGTAGCTTCACCTCTGTCCGTTTTTGCAGGCAACCCCACCTTCCTTTCAATCTGGCAAAAGCATGTTTTGAAACCTTTTGAATCCCTTCAATCTTCTCGTTAAAAGCATGCTGAGTCCATGTCAGGTTCTGCTGAGTGTAAGGCACGAGAACCCAATCCATTAGAGGATACCCTGAACTCCCAACAAGCCACATACCATTCAGAAGTCCTCCGTTAGCCTTTTCACCGAGTGCAGATTTCTGTAGCACCTCATCATCAGACATAGAACCAGGCCATCCAACAGAAACATCTGTAAATACTCCTCTTGGGTCAACAACACCCTGAACTGTGACTGAATACGAAGTCTTCTGATTCCTCTCTGTCTGCTTCTTATTATAATAAGCTGTAACATTAACCTTGGGAGCTGCTATTGGGACATGTGAGGTGAACATGGACCCCACCACATTGGGTATCCCTGAGATGGATTCAAATTCAGCTTTGATGTTGCTTAGCGTAACTTGATCAGGCCATTGCAAATACTTGAGCATCAGCACCGACCTTATGGCTGTACAGACCTCCAGAATCAGCTTATGGCAAGTTGATATGCCCAAACCAAATTTCTGTGATACAAGACGAAGAGGATCACCCGTGGCTAACCTCCACATACAAACAGCCACTCTTTGCCTTACAGGAATTGCATTTCTCAGTGTCGTGTCTCCCTTCGCGATCGCGGGATTGAGCTCCTCGCAGATCATATCGAAAGTAGCTTTTCCCATCCTAAACGCTTTCTTGAACTCTTGTTCAGGAAAATCAGGGTGGCTACATTGTTGCCACCAAGCTCCTGAACGATCTTTCACCCATAGCCTACGTTGGTAGTGAAGCCCACTATCTGCTGCTCCGGATTTGAGCTCTGGTACATCAAAAGCTGCCCCACGGGATTTCTTTCTCTTACGAATTCGCTCTGTCCTTTCTAATTCATCGTGATCGTCATGAAGATAGGAGTTACATTCTGGCATGGATTTTGCGTTCTTCTTGAGACTCGGTTTTTCGTCCTCGGTGGAGGAGAACTTGTCGAGGTCATCGTCACCATCCTGCTTCTTTCCATGATCGTCCGGCAATGGAAGCAAAGTGAGAATACCTTTCAATTCGTTCTTCTCCTGAGTTCCTTCGCTTTGAGTCGAAGACCCGTCATCGGGGTCGTGAGGTCGTTGAATATTCCGGCGCCGTTTCCCGGAGGTGTCGGCATTCATTTGATGAAAAGAAGGGTGAAGCAAGGTATGGATGTGAGAGATGGATTGTGGGTCGGCAAAAGTTTGGAGCTTCATACATAGAAAGACACCAAGAGACGGAAAACGAAGATGCAAGTTGGAACACAGCTCACTCAAGCACGAGGTCGTCTTCGCTTGGCGTTCAGTTTCACCTTCCAAGCTCATGATTATATGGTGTGAAACCGCAGTGTGAACGCGAGTTCCATATTCAGAAAACGACGAATCCTTGTGTTTTTAATATGCTATAAATATAATAACTAGGTGTGTTCCCAACTAAAAAATATAATAACTAGAAAACAAAAATGCGGCTGCCTTTTTTTATACGGAGTTTGGAGTAAACCAGGCTGCGCTATATTTTGGAGGATGGTTTCATATTTTATATGTTAACACTTACTAATATATTGATAATTATATACGTTAAAATATATCTCTAATTACCAACCTTTGTTAGTGAATTTTGCTCTCGTGAGTGGAGTTGCACGACATGATAACATCGAACGACTTAGGAATTTTTGTTATATGATACTTAAAAGATATTAAATCTCAAATTTTTAAAGAAAGTGTTGGATTTGAGGATTATTCTGATTGTGAAGTCTTTTAAAAAAAAATTTTTGAAGAGAAATGTGTTTTGATGATTTTGAGATCTTGTCAAAATTTAATAGTAGCTATTATGAAGACACTTATTGAATGAGTGAATTAAAATTATTAATCCAATTCAAATTCGTTATTAGTCTTAATGAAAATGGTTTGTAATATCATTTAAAAGATGGGACAGAGGACCTCTCTATTAATTTATCATTTGTTCCTTCCACTTTTCCAATGAAGGATGCCAAGGAAATAGGGAAATTCTCGTCCTCAAGGATGGGCTCTGAGATTTGAATATACCTATGACAAAAATAAATTATGTCTGATTTAAATTTTTCTTTCTTTAATTTTTAATTTAATGCCAATAAATGCAACTTTTATTAATGTGGTAAGAAGTGATGTGCTATTTATTTTGGCATTGTACAGTCAAAAAACAAATTGACTCCATAAAATTATATACTAATTGGATAATATAAATGTTGATTCAGATTATTTAATATTAAATTTATCTTTTATAGTTTAAATTTTTAATTTAAAATAAAAAATAATAATAATAATCAATAGATGCTCCCCTCCCCCAAGGCCCTTATCTCCCCTCTCAATTAGAGCTGAGAATATGAGCGGACCTAACTTTTAAGGGTCTAGGCTCTTGAACTTAATTCTCCATTTTTAGTCATTTTTTTAAGGCTTGGCTCTTATATAAAAGGCTCAGGGTCAAGCCCGAAAGTTCTGTTCTACAAAATTAAAATAAAATTAAGAATTAATTAAAATATTTTGAAATTAAAAAAAAATTAAAATCCTCACACTCTTTTAAAAATTAAACAACATATTTAAAAATATAAACAACTCACATTCATCAATCAAAATTCAAATTTTTACACACACACACACATATTTGATTGATAATGACATAATTTAGTTAATATTCATTGTAGGTGATGAAAAAAAAGTTATAAAAGTAATTGATATTGAATCTCTATCTCTATCTTTAACAAGTATATTTACATTCGAGAAATCTAATGTTTTATTTGTAGATGATGAAGACGAGAAAAATTTGGGCTTAACCCCTGATAAGCCATATAAAAAAGGGCGCGAACCCAAATTTAAATGACTTATGACAATTACAAATGAATGTTAAGAAAATTGGATTAATCATTAAATTAATTGAGGAAGTATTGATTCATGATTTAATAATCAAATCATGATTTAAATTGTGATTTAACTGGTTACAAATAAATTAATATATTTTAAATAATTTATGCTTAAAATAAAAGTAATGAATTATATGTAATAATGTAAATTAATTGTTAAATTTTAAAAATAATAAAAAATAAAAAAAATAATATACATCAATATTTCATCATTTTAATTCAAAATATACATACTTATTTCGTAATTGTTAACTTATAGCTTTAAAACATATACATATATACATGTTCTATGTATATTTTTCTTTCATTTTATTTATTTTTTACTCACTCATCAATGCTTGTTAGGTATAAATATATTTAAATTATAGTTTATAAATTCGAATTATAATTTATAAAAATAAAAAAAATAAGGAGTATTTCAACCAGTTTTTCTACCGATTCTACCGATTTTGATTGGTTTTATTGTTCTTAAATTCATCAATTTTCTCCTATAATTGGATTAAACTTATGACCAGATTTTGGTTAAATCAGTTGAAATGATCGGTCTGATCCAGCTCTAACATTATTATAACTTTGGATCTTCTTCTGTTTTCTATTTTACTGTTCTTTCATATCTCTTTCCTTTTTGTCAAATATATTAATTATAATTTTTTTAAATTTGTAATCGTGTTTTCCTGTCCAATTTTTTTTTTTTTTCAGATTTTGAGAACAGGAAAATGATTTTAACTAGTCGTGATTACGACGTGAATGTATTTGTCTGAAAAGTAAAATGAAATAGTACTTTGCTGAAGTGAAGTGTGAACACAACAGCATCAAGAGGACTTAGAAAATCATTTGTTACAAGTAATTCTTTTATTTGATTTGACTTGGCGTCACGACAGCTTCATGTATGCAGTTAAGTTCAGACAAAGTAACGACTTTTGATTATATATGATGAATAAAATAAACGCATACACGTATTAGATTCGTGGAAGAATTTGGTATTGATTATTCTATGCTGGTAATAGCATTATGAGATCATAATCAATTAGCATTATTGAGTAGGATTCTCACCAATAAATACCATTAATCTACCATCATTTCATTTATCAATTAGTGGTGAATAGATAAACGAGATTCAATCTTGTTAAAAGAGCTCGTTTTCCTGATAATGCAATAAATCAAGATTTAAAATTTGCCAAAAATTAATATTCAATTGTATCTTAAATAAAATTATTTTTAATAAAAAAAATACATATACATACTAAAAAGATAGTGATAAATAGGGAGAGATAGAGTGGGGCGATGATTAGTTAACCACCCCAGCATTTAATTATCTATTATTTTATAAGTGTAATAAATATCCGACTCCCTGAAATTTATATAAACTTTAATTTATAAGTTTTTTAATCCCAACTTCTTTGTATCTATAATTAAATCAAATTGTCATCATTTAGATTGTTTCCCTTGGAATGAATATTTATTAGGCGTTCCAAGTTTCCAGCAACATGCAAGAATTTCTCCACTCCTTTCTCTCTTTTCCTCATATTCCCGCTGCTGGTTATCCATTATTTGGAACCTTAAAAAAAAAAACACGTTTTTATTATTTGTGCGAACAGCTATAGTTGATGAAGAAAGAATAATTATATTCTACTTCCCTTGTATAACAATTGAATTTAAGCAGTGATAAACAAGCTGATGGAAAAATCAAGAAAAATCGATTCTAAAGATTCATTGCATTTCATTTCTTTAAAAAACGATTACCAAAACATGACTAATATTAGGGTCACTGGTTCGGATTACAAAGTATGATTAAATTTAGTTTTATTCTCTGTAATTATATTTTTTGAATTAAAATATGGTAAATAAATAATCATCCAATAATATGATATTTGCAAGTTGTTAAGAGTGAAAATATTTTTTTAAAAAATATATATATATATATATAATTAATTGTATCAATTGTTTAATAGAATAAAGCAGCTTAAAAATAAAACAAGAAGAATGACAGCTAAGTCCCCAAAAAATTGAATTAATGATAAGTAGATTTTCAACAAATTTTTTTTTAAAAAGAGTTAAAAAATCAATTTAAACAATTATAAATTTTATTTATAACTTTATAAATAAAATTTTATTGAGGAGCTAATTGTTATCAATTCAATTTTTAAATATTTTAACTGTCAAGCTCCCGGTAAAATTTGCACTTGCAGGAAGGAGACAGGACAAAGAGAGGCGTGAGTGTGAAACTGAGAAAGAGTGTGACATTATGGGACCATCGGGGAGGACCATTGAACACCACTCAATTCTCAATACAATTCTATTGCCCTACCTAACTGCGGCGGCCTCTTGTGGAAGTTTCTTCCTTTCAATTTTCCTTTTCTATTTGTGGTTTAATTTTTTTCCCCCTCCTTCTGTTCACTCTCACTTTGGGGTTTCAGAAGATGATTTTCAAAGTAATGGGGGTGCAATGAATATAGATGGAGCATTAATTGAGGGTAAAGGTGTGAAGATGAAGAAAATTTTGTGACATTAGTAAGTTGAAACTGTTTTTATCGATCCGTATAAATCAGGAACTGAGGAGTCCTAAAAGTGAAGACAGCAAATAGCTGGCAGAGTTACTAAAATATGTGACCATCTGTCCCAAGTCATAAGCAGCTATTACAGACATTTAACAAGATGCTGTACAGATTGGCATGTCAAAGTCTACATCTCACACTAACCAAAATTTCCCTCGCCTTTTTCAAGAGTCATCCAACTATTGTGCAAATACTGTACTGTCTCTTGACCCAATATCCCAGAACTTAAAGAGCATATGATGTGTCTGATATAGCCATGGTGGTGTGCATACAAGATCAAGTAAGGGATTTGCCAGCCCACTCTCGCTCTCGTCTTTTTTGTTTGGCGTGCATCTTATTGAACTTCTCTTTTCCCTTCTCCAAAAGGGGGTCAACCACGACATAGTCGTTAGGGTCGTCATTGCGTGACATCCGATCCTGCACAGTCACAATAACATTACGCCCAAGTTGAAGGCTAGCAAGGAAATATTTTTAATTTTCCAACTTATGCACCTCAGCTATTTTTTGACCCCAAAAGAAATGTTTTATCTATATATCAACCATCAGCTGAATGGCATGGAGTGATAACATTGCTTTCATTATATTTAAATATGGTGACCAAAAAGACAGGTGACGTGCAGGAAGGGAAATATGCTGAATTTATATCTATTGGGATCAAAGCAGTCTATTTGAAAAGATTGAATAAAAATATACACCACAAAATACACACCTTGCCAGGCTCGGGTGCAAATTTTAAGCTAGCTCCTTTCCAGTCCAACAAGTCCTCTTCATTTACTTCTCCAGATCCACCAGTTGAGGGTGTGGTCTTTTCTGATAGAGCCTTCTTAAATTTCTCTAGTTTTGCTAGAACCTGGTCATAATCCAAATCCAAAAGTGGAGAGGGACAGAATAAGGTCATTATCAACAAATGGTGATCGAAAGAATCCCACGGATGATTGCAAGAAAATATGGATACTCAATCTACAAGTCATAAGCTTTGCCTTACAACTACTTTTTCACCACACACTACTTTTTCGGTTTTTCCCTTTCCAAACATTATTTTACACCCCCCCTCAAAAAATTTAAAAAGAGAAAAAGAAAAAGCATTTCTAAACAGAAAAGTCTACAATGATACAAGCTCTTAGCAACATGCCCTCTCCCACATATTGGCCAAATTTGTGAGGAAGTGATCTGACGTCTCACCAAACATTCAATTAACTCTCAACCATTACTGGGTAGATGGTATACACCTAAAATTCCAGCAGACTACTCTGAGTCTTGGTATGTTTCAGTTTGCATGGGTCAATCGATCCCCCATTCACAATATTTCGTGATAGTATAGACGATGAATGTTTAGCACATAAACCAGAAGATGGAACACAGAACAAGGAAAAGAAAGACATAGTAGAATCAAAGTCAAAGCATACCTCATCTTCACGTCCTTGAACTCTGCGTTTCTTCTGCTTCTGCAACTGTCTATTTTTCTCAGATTCATTGAACAACTGTAAATCTACATCTGCATTTGCCATTCGTTCAGCTCTTGCTTCAGATCCTATTCCCCTTTTCTTCATGGACAATTTTTCCACCCTAGGTTGATCATCATCAACACTTACAGCATTGGACCTGTCAATTGTCGATCATAACAAGACCTTTAGATTTAGCTTGAAAGTTGATAATAAACCATTTAGATAATCATAAAAGCCCCAAAACAATTTCATGGTTGCTGACGATTAACATCCTTACCTGATTGCTGGTGAATTGTGGTTCTTTGGACTTGAGCTTCCTGCTTGACAACACAAGGTGGTGAGCCTTAACAATTAAACAATCATTTTCAATAAGAAGAAACAGATTTCATCAAGCTGTTCAAGCAATCTGATGCTTAATTTCGGACAAATTTAACGGTTATAGTGTTGATAAATACACACTTCTTATAGAAGCATTGGAGGTTTATCGTGATCTTGACCAGTCATCTCACATACCATGGTATCTCGGATAGCTTTCGGATACTAGTCACTGATGTGCTGTTATGTGATAACTGGGTGGCATTTGAGATCATATATTATATGCTAACATCATATTTCAGCCAATAAAGTGTTCTTTATCAACAGCCAGTACACTGTCTTCTCATGTCATAGGGTAAAGCGCGTTATATGTTTACATTACTATTTTTATCCTCGTCTTTATATGATTACAAACCCCAGAGCATTTTTTTGTTTAAAAAAATAAGAAGCATGTAAAATACAGGGCACATGTTGAAACAATGATATTCACTTTTATTTTTATATGGATAAAGTGTGAATAAATTACGCATGATCCTTTTTTTTTAAAAAAAAAAAAAGTTTCTAGAGTTATTTTTCAATTAAAATAATAATAATAATATTAAAAATATAAAATGATAATTGATTCAAGCCTGAAAGAGTAAATAACATTCCCAAAATGTACAATATCATCAACTGCCATACCAAAAAAGGTATTTTATACCATGGCATCTTATACTGAAATATACAGGATACTAGAATATCAAAATAAATGTGCACCAAATAACTCAATGAGTCATTAGTACAAATCAAATTCCAGCATTCATTGCCTCTGATTCAATGATGGTTCAAAAGTGCCTCAATTCCTTTGATTTTCTTTATGTTTAATGCTCGGAAATGACCCAAGAAACTCGAGCTTTATGATGCCCTTAATTTCCCTTTTTATTTGGCAGAATCTCCCAGAAGATTTAAAAGGTCACTACCTAGTCTAAGGACTACTCTAAGAGCATCTTGTCAGTAATATGACCTAGTTAAAGCTTCCTTGGGCAGAAACAGAAGTGCTCCTTAAATCAGAGTTTGAAAACTTTACTAGCTGAAATATAAGGAAGATGATTGAAATACCATTTTGCAACCTTGGCTTGGGTGGTAAATCCCCTAACTCTTGGCGTTTTCTAAGTATTTGACTGCGCATTCTGGCATCAAAGTCTGCCTCATCATCATCATCACTGTCATCATGGTTGGCCACCTCATCAGCTCCTAGTTTTTTCAGAGACTCTTCTTTTTTTAAGCTCAAGGCATCCCTTACAGATAACTGCACATCTCTTGTTGACTTACCACCAGATGAGCCCTGAAAAAAGCACTGATATCATATAATGCAAGAGAACTTATGAACGGGCAAATGACGTATCATTTACAGCAATAGCTTATCCGTAAATTGTGATTGTTTGAGATGATATGAGTGATTACTGCTTCCAAGAATTACTCGATCAGTACATACAATATTCTAAGAAAGAGTTCTATATAATAATCAGGATGATGGGAATGGCCTTCTTACCAGTTCACTATCAGGAATTGCTTCCTTCAGAAGACGAGGATCATTCAATACATCATGACTGCTCTTAATCTTTTGTTTTACAGATGCCAGCTCCTTTTCCTCTTCTTCAGCTTCTTCTCCGAATGAAAGTAAGTTCAGTTTTCTGCATTATACAAAACAAGCAATGAAATACTGAGAGAAATTTCACTAACACAAGTCACTACATTAAGTTCTAACAAGATACATTCTTTGAGGTGAAAAGAATTACTTTACAGCTTTTTTCTTTGAATCTTTACTTTCTGTATCAGTAGTAGTTTGGATCTGAGGCTGAATTGTTCTGGGAACAATATCATCAAATGGGTTCCATAATACCTATAATGAAGCGTTTCAAGAAGAAACTTGGTTGTCAACTCATCCCTGGACATAAATTTTATGTTTCTTGCTTGAAGATTAATTAAAATCTCAACCTACCTCAATTGATAATATCTTTGGGGGATCTAGAGGCCGATCATTCTTATCAGTTTCAAGTTCACCCAATCTTAGAAGATTGTATACAGTGTCTCCCGTCACCTAAAAACAACTACTGAATTCAATGAATCCACAAAATTGACACAAGTGGTAAAAAGGTTTTGCAACAAAAATATTCCATCAAATACCTTTCCAAAAATTGTATGCTTCCGATCAAGCCAATCACAACGATCTAGAGTTATGAAAAACTGACTCCCATTGGAGTGTGGGGAGCCAGCATTTGCCATTGCGACTAACCCTCTATGTTTAAATCTTAAACGCGAATGAAATTCATCAGAGAAGACACCCCCATAAATACTTTCACCCCCTGCCATATTTAGGATAAGTTACAATCTAGCCGGTAATCAGAAAGTCATGAACTTGAGAGGCTACAGCCAATTCAACCAACCATCATTTAGAAGCGGACGTCATTTTTTCAAATTGAGTGAATAAAATCCCTTAAGTCACTATATTTGAATTGTCATTGCGCCAAAGGAGAAGAAGAAGAATTTTGTAAAATTTCCAGCAATTCTTTATTTTTTTTTTGCCCCAACCCAAGTCCCCAGCCAGCCAATTATCATTTTGAGGAAGATATTTGAGGGTAAAGCAAAACTTCGGGCACCAGTATGCACCGCTATCAACAACTGTGTAAAGATTCATAAATAAATATTCCATTTGGGCGACCAGGCGATAGGCATAGTGGGTTTGATTGAGAAAGAAAAGAACCTGTGCCGGTGCCAGTGGGATCGCCACCCTGGATAAGAAAGTCCTTGATGATACGATGAAAGATGGTGTTAACATAGTAACCTTCAAGGCAGAGCTGCACGAAGTTCCTGACAGACTTGGGGGCTTCCTTGGGCCACAGCTCAAAGTCGAGCGGACCATGGGTTGTGTTCAACACCACCTTCCCTTTAGTCGGCGGTTCTAACACGTATACCGTCGACATCTTTTCCTAGTGCTAATGCTTCACTCCGCCTGAATGGAACCTCGACCCGCAACTTCGAGAGAGAGGACTTTTGGATTTCCAAAATAATGACTACTCATAAGACCAAGACTGGGAACCGGATCTGAATCAATAATCTCAGGTCATAGGGTTTGTGTTTCCGTCATTTTTTTAACAGGCATATGGACAGGGGGGGAAAAAGGTAACGAGTCCGGACCCGGAATGCGAAGTCGAAACTCACTGTGTCTTGCAATCTGTTATTTTTTATTTTGACTCGAAATAATTATATTCTCAAATCGCAAACCAACATTAATTGTTATTGTATTATTTTATGTTTTATTTATGAGTATCAATAATCAATAAAAATAATAAATAAAACAAGCATTTGTCTTAAAAATAGTTTAAATAAAAATAATTTAATCAAGCATCGTTAATTTTATTATCATTTTAATTATTTAACATTTTTCATCCGTCAAACGCCCACAGCAAAGGACACAAGCACATACCACCTCATAAACAAATAATGATTCACGAACAGAAGCACCATCACGAGAGTGCCCATTGTCAGGCAAATAAACTAAAGGACCCAAAAAACTACTTTTTTCCTTTGAAGGGCAAAACAAAAAAGAATGTGCCTGAATCGTCTCCCCCTTTCTTCTAACACACTCAATCCTCTGCATCTAAACAACTCGTATGAGATTATTCAACAACGTAGTTACAGCTGATGAACCCATTTTTCAAAAGAGTATTAGGATAAAAATAAAGAAATAGCCCAAAAGGCAGCCCAGGGAAAAAATTACATCTATATCTACTTAAACGTCTCAATTCATGTCTTTTCAAAATTAGTGTCTGTCGTCTCTGTCTGCAAAGCAGAGCTTGCGATCTCCTCACCAGCATTGATGCCTTCAGTTTGTTTAGTTTCGGGTGCTTCTCCATTTTCCACCGCTTGCAGGTTCCCATTCTCAGTTACGTCCCTCAGTTCCCCGTTGTTCACCGGTTTTGGGAGTTCCCTTGCAGAAGAAGTTGCTAACAGGCGGCTAATTCCATCGTAGACATTCTTTGCGTCCATTATAAGAGCAGCTCCACCGGGATAACAACGCCCAAAACAAGTTGCACAGTGAGGAAAGGCAACCTACAAAATGGGGGTGAAGGAATTCTAGATTTAGAGCAGTTTATTGAGACTAACTGCAGTAAACAACTAAAATTACAAAAGCCAATACCTCTATAAATGCCCGACAGAGTGAGAGGAAAAGTCCCGACTCATTTTCTCTGAGTACTCGAGTCGTATTGTATCTCAGCAGAGAGTCAGAGACAACTTGCAATCCCTTAATCAACTCTTGGGCAAGGACATGATTCAAACTTAGAGGGGCGCAAGGACGTAGCTCATTCATTGCCACTGATACACCTGCAGACACCAGAGAGATACCAGCACAATTAGTTTGGCATGGAGAAGCAGGAGAAAACAATGTAACATATGAAAAACTTTCTGGCATCATGATAAACATCATCCATTAAAGTTCCATCTAAGGGGGTTCCTGTAAATGACTCTGGCAATGAAAACTTTTTTTATCCATATCTTGAGTCTAGTCTTTGTATCTAATCCTCTGAAATAAATCTAATGCTATCCAGTACAGCACTTAGCGTGCCATTTATTAAAAAGTTAAAAGAGCAAAAATGTCCTAGAACTTTTCATGAGAAACGCCTAGGATTCCAAACTTTTATTCAGAGTAATGTTGTTCCAAAACTTTCAAAAGGGGTACAATTTTGTGCCGCCGTTGACTTTAAATAATGTCGACTGATAAAAATTGAAAGTTGACCATCAGGTGACAGGTATCGTCCAGTGGGAATCTCTGTCCCCCCCCCTCCCAAGATTGATTCTCTCTCTGTTTTCTCCAGGTTCAGCAACGCCAAGTTTGAGTAACTGCGCCGACAAACACTTTCGAGATTATTTTGACTTACTCCACCAACCCATCCAATTCATCAAATGATCAACATATACATGTAAACCCACAATAAAGAACGGACCCTTTAGATTCTCTTTGATGCTTCCAGCCGACCTAAAATCAAATTAAAGCCGGGATGGTTGAAGCAGAAGAAGAATAGAAGATGAAGATATGAAGTAGACAGATAGAGAGAGAGAAAAGACTAACGGGCGCAGAGAGAGAGAGAGAGATTGATTTATTTACATTTAGTTCGAATACAATTGAGGGCTGTAGAAAGTGGCATATTTGTTGTCTAATACGTAGGTTGAATGGGTTTATTTTCTGTGTCGTGTGCAGGACATAAGATTCGCAGAGAAGACAGAGGGGATGTGAGAAGGAAGATCCAGGCAGTGCAAGTGTAAAATTGGAGAGATGTAACCGCGAATTTACTAACCCAAAAAGATGAAATTAAAAGGAAAGAGTATGGAAGGGGGAGAGATGGAGCAGAGAGTGAGGAGAAAGAGAGATTCATTGCTGAATGGCTTGTTGCACCCTGCCAGCCAGCTATGTTGACGTTGCTCCTACTGGGCATTTTAATTAGAAGTAACTTATACTAATAATTTAAGCAGATGGGCACAAGTGAATGCATATGTTAGAACAAAGCAAGGAATAACCAATCTGAAATGCTTTCTTTATCAGCTCCAACTTCAAGAACTCTTTCTGTTTCTTTCCTCTATACCCACCTGCTTCAATCTCTCGCATTTCTTTTCTCTTTCAAGAATAACCAATCTGAAATGTTTCCTCTCTGGTTAAGCCTCGTCATTTCGCCGCTACTTCCCTTATTCCCTCTCCTCTGTCTCAAGATTCGGTCATTTCTGATATGGGTTGCCAGTGGAGATCGGTTGGCGATGATGGGGTTCAACGGTTTGTTTAAATTAGCCAAAGCTCTGGATTACAGAAATGGAGCAGGGTGCCCAATGTTGTCAGATAAAGGGGTGAGCGAAAGAGATTTCTGAATGGATGGACATTGTCATGTCACCGTTAGTTTTGGTCAAAAAACCTTGGTTAATCGTCAATGTTGGGGGGAAGTTAATGGTAAGGCAAAATTGCACTCTTTTTAAAAATTCCAAGATAACATTGCTTAAAAAAAAAAATTAGGATACCAGGCGCCCTTTGTAAAAAAAGAAACAAGATGAGCTACCGAACTAATTAATGAAAGCAACAACATCATTATCTTCATTTGAGTCTACAGAAACCCATCCTTTTAATAGGCAAATGATAATGGACAAGCAATTTCCTGAAGAAGTATAGAAGAAAGCATTTACCATTAATAAAAACAGCAAGAGGAGGATGTTCCATCAAATAAGAGGGTGGAGTGACGTCCTCCTGAGTTTCTTCACCAACAGTATTTGCAGGAAAGCCAACTGCTGGTAGGGGAACCCAACGATGTGAATCCAAGACCAACTAAGAGCATGAAGTTAGAAGATGAATCATCACATGAATGTAAGCCACTTGTTAGTTGCAAAGGAGAAGAAAGAAATGAGAGGCCAAGGGCTGACATAGTTGTGCAACTAATACAAATTCATGCATAACCTCAGATTCAGGAAACTAACAATGACATATCATAACTTCACCACATGTTCATTTACCTGAAAATTCTCTACTGCTGTACGCATATTTTTTGAGAATAAGTCAAGAACTGCCCTGCAATGCAGCCAACCTACATGTCAAGAAAGATTTACAAATGATATAAAATGAAAAGATCACGAAAGGATGTGTTTTACTCTTCAAAAAGTGATGGAAGTAAGCCCCGAAAATCTAGTCCAACCCAACCAAGTCCCATAGCACAGTACTGAAAAGAAATTGAATAAAGTTAACATAAGCTGATGCCAAAGTATAAAGTATAAACTAGATGTATGTATGTGGATTCCATTTCCCAAAATAGTAATATGGACAAGCAAGCATACAAATTTTAAGTTTTTATTCTCCCTTTGCATTTCTGAATGATTAATTTTAAGGGGGCAAACAAATATAAAGAGATTTCTTGCTTTTAAAAATCACTTTATTAGCACAAAGGAAAATTGTGATGCAACAGGCTCACCATGCATTGATCCAAAATATTTGATAGTGATCCACCTTCAGTTATCTTAGGAAGCATAACTTTCAGAGTTTGGAGGTGTGAGGTAATTTGGTGCATTGCCCGACTGAACAGAAGCCCGCCATCATAATTTTCCTCACTTCCTGATGTGTCATCAGCAAATATTGCCCGATATTGATTAACAACATCAAATAGATGCATTCGGTGGCAGTTAATCATCCCTTTCAAGTATTCATATGGATTTGTCCGGTCGAGATCCTCGAGTATGCCTGTAAGCCATGCCTCTCGGCATCTCAAGAACTGAAAACAGATAATTGCTTAGTTATAAACAGACAGATAAAATAAAAGAATGTACCTAGGAAACCTGAAAACCTCCAAATAGAATACAAGCAATAAAGCTAGAGGAATGTTGTGCGGGAAATTTAGTTACACGTCACCTGCAGTCGCATTTCATGCTCACTAAATACTCCTATTCGTCGCAAATATCCAATAATGCGGAGGCATTCAGGTAACTGTGATAGAGAAAATGCACTAATAAGACGTTAACATTTTAAACCATTTTAACAGATGAATCAAGCATCGCTTATTCATAAATTTAAAATAACAAATACAATAACCTGAATATTAGATCGAAGTTTTTGAAGAAGTTGAGAAAGAAGAGACTGGGTGATCTGCCTAACTTCTGCAGCCAATGCTTGAATAACAGGTAACCTATACAAGTGGGGAGCAGGGGAATAAAAAGTAAGCAGAAAATCTACAGCTTTCCTCCCCAGGAAATAGCAAAACTAAATGTTAAAATTGCAAGAGAGGAATCATATAAACTTACTTTGGATGCATCGTTGAGAGTTTACAAACAAATGCTTCCAAATCCAGAGCTTCATCATAATTCCCATTCCTTACACATCTGCAGAAACACAAAAATTTAGATGACTTTTCAAAAAGGGATTCATTTGTTTACCCTAAATCATGTCAAGTGAGATAATGCGGGCAATTCAAATGCTACAATTTTTTTTTTAAATCCTTACGTGTCCAACAGTTGAGGAATTTCCAGCAAATCGAGTAAAGTACTTTGATTAGCTAGCATTGTTTGATTCATCTTCCTCTTCTCCAGAATTTGCTCAGCAGATTCTATGAACTCAGTGCATCCAGATGTCAGTTTTGGAACCACATTAATCTGTGAGAAATGAAAAGATACTGGGATGACCCACAATATTTTTATGAAAAAACTTCCAAGCTGACTTGCACGAAGTGCTATGTTTTTGCTTATATAAATTTATCTTCCAGGTCTCAATCACGATATATATATATATATATGATCCATGAACATAATCAACTAAAGAAAGTCACATTAAATATTCAGGCACTTGCAACATCAGCAGATACATATCTATATACTTTCTTGTAATTCGAAAATCAGAAACCTTCACAGCCAACCATACATTACTTCTATGAAATACTTTTGTGATCTTTACCATGGTGTCATGACATCTAAGTGCACTTTCATGCATTTCCATGCCTACGTTTATCTAAATTTTAAGATGTAGCGTTTTAAAAACAAAAAGTTACCATACATCTAGAGAACACAATTCATAAAGCAGATAAACAACGCAAGAAATTTGAAATAAGCACCAGAGATTCAAGATGCTTGTCAATAGAAGAGACTTCCTCGCGAATAGCAAGCAAGGCGTCGGCAGCAGATATGAACACTCGGTAATTACCCACTGCCACCTCTTGCATTTGCCTTCGAATCCGCTCCGCATCAACCCGAAGCAGCTCTGGTTCCTAAAATTGAGTTTATTACGGATGGAAACGGAAAATATCAAAGCAGGATCGTAGATATGAAAGTACAATTTGTTGGATGAGACTAAATAAGTCGGGCAATAAAATTGAAGGAGGAAATGATGAAGGGACCTTGTGGAGACGATCGAGAGTGAAGGAGAGGAGTTCAGAGACATAGGGCTGCTGGGAGTCAGAGGCGAGAGGAAGGAGGCTAGGGACGGGCGACGTCCCCTCCGCTGCACCTTCAGACTCCATCGTCGGAGCTACGAACTTGGTGGTGTCCGAATTGGCTATTCAGTTGCAGTTTGAACAAGTGAAGGAGACACGGATCTGTTGTGCAAGACCACGAAGAACGTAGCTGTGTATGAGAAATTAACAACTGCCTAGCTTCGTCTTCTTCATTCGGTTTTGGAATGGCAGTGCTTCGACTTCTGGGAGCCGGATCTGGATCCACTCAGAATTTCTTTCTTCGTTCGACGGGCTCAAGTCTGGCTTTGGCGTTTTGCCGTGCCGATGAGAAAATGGAAACTTCCTACTTTTTTATTTTTTTTTAGAGGCCCCCATTTTACTATTTCATGCAAATTAAATTTAATATGAAATATATTCGAGTTTGGTGTGATAAATAAGTTTCGAGTTTCTCGGTTGTTTTTGAGTTAAAACATACTCCGTCCGTTTAGGAATTTTTAACTAACAACTTTATTATTTTTAAAAAGATTGATTGTTAAAAAATATAAAATATTTTTAAATTTTTTAAAATATAATTATTGATCTGTTTTCAAAAGTACTCTTATTAATAAATAATTTTATATTTATTATAGATTATTTAATAAAAGTAAATATAAAAATAAGGTTAGTTTGAAAGTGAATAACTATTTTATTGAAGATGAGATTTGATTAAAAATATTTTATATTTTTAAATAAAAGGAATATATTTTATACTTTAAGCAAGTTATTCATTGTGTTATGAGGATGACGAAAAAGTCTAAAAATTAATTAATTTAAATTAAATATTAAATTTTAAAAATTTATAAGTGTAATTATTAATTTTATAATTTTATTGTAATAAAATTATAATTTATTTTTAAATTTTTAACATGATTGATTGTTAAAATTTAAAATATAAATTGTGAACAATGAAACTGCAACATCTAAAGTCAAATTTGTAAATTCTTAAAATTTAATATTTTAAAATTTAATTTTAATTAATTGATTTCTTTGTAACTTATCTTTCATTATCTCTTACTTATTTACTTTTGTAAATAACAACTTACTTACTTCTTGAATCACATGATCATTGAAGTAAATTTTTTTTTTTTTGGATCAAACATAGAAGTAGATGGTAAAAATGAAATCAGCGAGAAGAAGTTTATTATCTTTTTCTTTTTTGTAAAAAATTGACTAAATTAATTTTTTTTTCAAAAAAATGTATTTAATATTTTCTCTTTGATTTATTTTTTTATTAATATAAATAAATTTATGTAATATTTTTAAAAATAAAATTTAGTCTCTAATATCAGTTGACTTCCAAACATATAGATATATTTTTTAAAAAAAATTAATATAATTTAATCAAACTTAAAAAAATAGCGGAGGACGACACACAGCCTAGTGGCACATTAAAGAAAAATACGGAAAAAAGAAAGAAGGGGGGGGGGGTGTTGGATTAGGCGCGGGGTGTATAAAGCCCTGAATCTTCCCTCTGGTTGTGTCGGGGGCCTGACCAAAAGAGTCTTGCACGGATGTCTGCTTGTAATTTTGATGAATACTCGATCTAAATTAACTTACAAGACTCCTCCATGTAAAACACTAAAACCCCGCGAAAGAGGCATGGTAATGGCGTCAGGTACACAAGATTCTGAGCAGCAACAAATACCAGTGCAAAGATTACAAATTTACTCAACTACAAATACTGGAGTGTCCCCCTTCTGGAGAGGTCTCTCTATTCTCTTTCTCTCTGTCTCGTCATTCTGCTTGCAATTCCCGAGCATTGAAAATTGTTGTTTATTTGCAGAGAAGTATGAGAGAGAAGCCAAAAAGTATTGGGATGTGTTCTACAAGAAGCACCAAGACAGGGTTTGTTTTTCCTACTCCTCTGTTTTTCGTCGAATGCGCGCGTAACTCTTGTTAATTATTCCTGTTATATTCTCTGTTAACCCAAGGGATGTCACTGCTTTATCTATTTTCTACTAGCTCCATCTGCGTCACTCCATCAAATTCTTTTTTTTTTTTACTCCCAGCCACTTATTAATCGCCTTTTCCATAATTGGTTTGACTATTGCTAATGCTATTTTTCTTTTCTTGCATCTTTCCTTCAGTTTTTTAAAGATCGGCACTACTTGGATAAGGAGTGGGGTAGCTATTTTTCTGTGAGTGGAAGGAAATGATGTTTTAATTTGTAATTTGATTTATTTTCTGAAGTGCTGCTCAAGATTCTAATTGTCTAAGTTACTTTCAACTCCAGGGAGCTGGAAGAAAAGTGATTTTGGAGGTATATACGTACCCATCCGTGCTATTCTCTTCCTAACTCCCCCTTCTTTATGCAAATATAGCTTGCCTCTTTTTGTGAACACACGCTGCTTCGGTTGGTTTTCCAATTATCATATGATGATTCAATTGGTTTGATTGTATCTGCCTGCCACAACAGAACACTTGGATTAATGTGAAAAGGAAAGTAGTCTTGTCTTCAATTCATACTGTGGTGGTGGAGTGAGAACCATTCGATATTGGTTTCCCTCCTTAGCTATTCATTATTTTTGAGATCTGTGGTGGTCAAATTGATCACTGAAATTTATTTTCTATTTATGCTCCTCTCCAGGGGTTATTTGGTCTGTGAAGCTGTTTAATAAGTAATGCTGCTTCCTGAACAGGTTGGTTGTGGAGCTGGAAATACTATATTTCCTGTGATTGCATTATACCCAGACGCTTTTGTTTATGCATGCGATTTCTCACCACGAGCTATTGAGCTAGTCAAGGTTGGAAATTTTCTTTTATATAGTGTCTCTCATCATCAACCACACTTATGTATGCATGTTAGCCAATTTGGCTGGCTGAAGGCTTCGTGATTCAATTTATTGATGCAAGTGTGTGACCATGTCTTGTAACTATAGAAGCATTAGACATAAAAGCACGCAACATATTGATGGTCTTGTGCTGCGGTTGTTGTGGCTTATACTTATAGGATATGTAGAATGTGGTGCTATTTTAGTGGAAGTCTGTTTTGGCAGTTTACTTTATTGAAATAGGTTCAACAGGATTGAGTTTGTATGACAGATCATGTAGATGTAACAAGAATGAACTCATCTTGCTTGCTTATTGCAGACACATAAAGATTTTGAGGAGTCACGTGTTAGTGCTTTTGTCTCCGATTTGACAGCTGACGACCTGTGCAAGCATATTTCTCCATCATCGGTTGATATTGTTACCATGGTATTTGAAGCTATAGTAAAGTAATTATGGGATGAAATTTTCTTTTATTGGTTGGTTTTAATAAAATTCTGTGCCTTTAATTAACTATGACCCTCTTGTTTAAGTAGCTGACATGTTAAGCAGGTATTTATGTTATCTGCAGTGTCGCCAGAAAAGATGCATCAAGTATTGCAGAACATTAGAAAGGTTATCAAGGTGAGAAATTTTAATATTAATTACTTTTGATAGGCTATGTTTTCATTAATATTTCCATATAACTTGTTTTGGGCTATGAATTGATTCCCATTTTCCTGGTGTTCAGCCAAATGGTTATGTGCTGTTTCGAGACTATGCTACTGGAGACCTTGCTCAGGTTGAATTTTTGCTGTTCCTATTGAAGTCTTCTGCTACAAAATTTATAAGTACCCAAATTGTTGTCCATATGTTTTTCTTATGATAGATAATTCACTGTGATAACTGGAAGAATTTAAATTTGTTTTCTCATTATAATTCATATAAACTATTCGAAATTTCCATTGACCATTCTTACCTATGTTTAGACTAAATTCAGACAATTTGGCAATCCCGCTAAACACTTGTCACTCTTTGATTTGCATTGAAATTAAAAACATGTTGACATTAAATTCAGGTATTTTCCCTCTTTAGATTGCTTTAGGTACTTTTACTGAATGCTTTATATGGTCTTTAGCTGAAATATGGTCAGTGATCAGCACAATACCATTTTGGTCATATCTTTCCCTTGGTCGGGTGGCTGTTTGACTATCAAATTTTGATTGATCCCTTTCTTTATTAACAGCCCATGTTTGATATCTCCATTTGTTCTGTTTCATAGGAAAGATTCTCTGGCAAGGATCAAAAGATTAGTGATAATTTCTATGTTAGAGGTGACGGCACCGTAAGCATTCAACTTTTGCCATGTTATTTTGCAGTTTAGCTCACACATGAAGCTCTTCTTCTATTTTTAATGCAATATTCCTTTGTTTCAGCGTGCTTACTATTTTTCAAATGAGTTTTTGACAAATTTATTCAAAGAAAATGGTTTTGACGTTGAAGAACTTGGTGTGTGCTGCAAACAAGTGGAGAACCGCTCAAGGGAGTTGGTAATGAATCGGTAATGTGTCTCACTCCTTCTGTTCTTTATGCATTTTTTCTGTGGTAATTTAACAAGCTTATAAGAATGGTGATTTTTGCATGCCTTTACTTCTGCACTCCAATCTAGAGATGGAATTTCATTGTTGGTCTCCTGCCATCTCCTGCTTAGAAGAAAAAGTGCTTTCCTGTACATCTACATAAATAGTGAGTGCAGTTTCTTTTTTTCTTGCCCCTCTTCAATTTTTTTTTTTTTTTTTTGGGATTTAGGCGTTGGGTGCAAGCTGTATGCCGGATTACAGACAGTTCCAACTCTTCCTCCAGTAAAGAAGCTGAACCAAAGGCCGATCATCTTGATTCTGAGGAAGTCAAGGAAGATAATGTAAAGGGTCCCGTAAATGACCCTGCGATTGACTTGTCTGAGGGTTTGGCAGTTGACATGTTTGGAGTCTCGCCTTCCAGTGAGAATGAGGTAAAGGTTTAAACTTTATGGCTCTCACCTTCATTTCTCCCAAGTTATATCAGAAAAACTATCAGAGACCACACTCAGAAAAAATGAATCTGCCAGAACTTATATAGAGATTTTTCCTATTTTCTGTTGAGATGGCAATTTTTTGCTGTTCTCATCTGAATTTAGATTACCTATTGGCTCTATATTATTAATATAACCCTAGCTGCCACTACGGTTTTCCTGATTTGGACACATGCATGATTCTTGGCACTCTGAATTTTTCCTGTTAGATTATTGAGGTCAACCTTGGAGGGTGGAATTTCAGGATCAATGTGCTTTCAAAGGAGTACCAACATACCTGCAAATCAACAGGGTTGATGCTATGGGAATCAGCTCAATTGATGGCTTCCATCCTGGCAGAAAATCCCAATATTGTTGAAGGGAAGCGGGTCTTGGAGCTGGGATGTGGCTGTGGGGGAATCTGCTCGATGGTTTCTGCTAGATATGCCAGCCTTGTAGTTGCCACTGATGGAGATGCTTTTGCTCTCAAACTCCTTGCCAAAAATGTTGCATCTAATCTTCCACCACCACTGCTTACTAAACTGATTACCAAGAGACTCGAGTGGGGAAACAGGGATCATATTGAAGAGATGAAGGAAGTGAGTAATACAGGCTTTGATGTCATTGTGGGGACGGATGTGACATACATTCCTGAAGCTATATTGCCTTTGTTTGCAACTGCAGCAGAGCTGATTGCTTCCAGCGGAAGCAGTAAAGATAATAAGGAGCCTGCACTAATTGTTTGCCATATTTTCCGACGAGTAGATGAACCATCCCTACTCTCAGCTGCAGGGCAATATGGATTCAGATTAGCGGACAGATGGCCTGCTAGAGATTCAACTTGTCAGGGCATTGTCAGCGATTGGTTCCTAGATAATGGTTTAAAGGATGATCTTCCAAGTACAGCTTTAAATATCCTGCTCTTCCACAAAAATTGAAATTAAAATCCGCATCCTTTTATTCAAAGCAAGTTTGGTTTTTTTCGTTCTGATCTCATTCCCTAGATTGCGAGAAGTGAAATGTAAGTTGGTTCAGCAAAAGGTGGGTAGCAATTTGTTTGGCTTCATTTTTGAAGGACTATTATGTGGCTATCATAGACAATGTTTGTCAGTTATTAAATTTATATCTTGGTGGAGAAAGGGATCTGGATTCTGGAGGCCAGAAGTAAGGCCTGCAGAGCAGAATTGTTCTTCAACTTACTTGGTCGTTTTTTTTTTTTTTAATGTTATTTTTCGCGCCAATTGGTTGGACATACACATGGTTGTCGTATTTGCATGTTTGGTTGTACACTGCGTGGTCTGTCTGAATATGCAGAGCACGTTTTTGTTTTTGACCTTCAAGAGCACATTTTTTGTTTAGTGCAAACGATGATTGTAGGTTATTGTTCGAAAGGGTTGTGTTTTCTGTTTTGGCCCCCAGAACGTGGTTCACAGAGAACCAGAATGGGCTGGTGGTTGCTTCTCAGCAAACGTGGCAAACATCTATTGATTTCGTGCTTCTTACCGCTCAAGCCTCTTTAAGACATAGTGACAGTATTAAGCAAGGTCCACAAGAGAAAACAAAAATCACTTGGAGTTTCTCTCGACCAAAATAATATCCGATTTTTTTATGTGAAAAACTAAGCATGCGTATGTTCATTCCAAGCAGTTTCTAACTGGGTTGCTCTTTTGCATGCATGTTCTCGTGTAAATGCGTACACGAAGCGTTCGAATAGCTTTACAACGTTTTTTGCTTATTTAAGATACATGTCATCGCTCCCTTTGGACTGACAAAAGACGTGCATATCGTAATATTTTTTCCGATATATCTACCCAATATTAATACTATCGGTTGACATTCGAGAACCGTTAGAATTTCAACATTATTTATTTTCATCCACAACATTCGAACAAACAATCGTATTAAATTCCTGTTCTTTGACCATAGCATCACAATTGTTTATACGGCTAATCATGTAAAGAGTATGATGGATTCTCAGTCATTCCCAAAATAAACGTTTCGTTAATATAACAATTAATAATTAATAATATTATATGCGATCCGAGTATATGTTGAACGAATAAGGCTGCACGGCCACGAGATGACACACTACATTTACATTAGACGTGGCAATTTCGGAAGAGAAAATCATATTCAAGAACCTATGAAAAATGTTATTTAACAGGAAAGGGCCAGTATAAAATAAATTGTTGTTAAAATTAAAATATGAACTTATTTTTTTTTTTCAAGTGATGACTAATTATTGATCTTTGTTTGCAAATAATACTCTTCAAAAGGCTTGGATGCGATTCTCCCATTTCAAAATTTTAATATATTGATATTTTTTATAACATAACAATAAATAACATGAAAACCATTGAATTTATACAGGTATTTTAAAGTAATATAGAAATAAAAATTCGTAATGGCAACTAAAAAAGTTGAGTTTTGTATGTAATATTTAAGTTAGTTTGGAGCATTTTGGGGGGATTATGTGAACAAAATCCTCGTTTCCACAATAATGTGCTTAAAATCTTTTTTTTTTTAAACAATAGCGTGATTTTGTGCATATTCCATTGCAATAATGTGATTTTGTGCATATTTAACGATAAGATTAGAATAATTTAGTATTTCTTCATGTCAAGTTTTATAAAAATTAAATAACTATAGATCTGCACTATTGAAAATTAAAAAAAAAATTAACATGAGGACGATTGTATAATTATAATTGTAAAAAATCTAATTGTACAATTAGCTAAACCTATAAATGTAAAATATAAGAACTAAGAAGCATATTTATACTCCATCTTGAACTATGTGTGAGTGCATGGCATCCACTCTAATTGTTAAATAGCATTAAAATATAAGCCTTTAAAATATGTAATTAAAAATTTCTTATATCTTAAAAAGATATTTTTATCAAAACATGGATTTGAGATGAAATGTTGGCATATTTTGGAGAACTTAATTAAAAGGTAGGGCAATTTGCCTTTTTATGAACTAATTAAATAGAATAGTAAATAGTGCAGCAATGATTTCATGGTACACGCGAAATTGCACGGTCAGTTTACGAAGATATTGGCCTGAGACTTGCATGTTGCTATCGCTGCTTCTGTAATAATGTTTTTGTTTCATGTTGAGTCTTAAGAGCTTGGAGACCGTGGAATATATATATATTATGGATAAAACGGAGCTTTTGCTTGATTTATTTTGAAATCAATAACATTCAAAAGCAATTATCTTTCCCTGTTCGTGGAGCTGTATTTGTTGGCATGAATTAATGATATCAGTGAAAGTAAAAGAAGTCAAAATCCAGATGTATCTGTCAAGACTGACTAATCGCAAAAGTTTAACCCTTGAATACACACTTTAACTTTCACTAATTTTAAAGAGGAACAAACCAACGTGATGGACAACATGAGAGGGGAAAAATCAAGAACAAGCCTTTGTATGTTTCCACCATTAATGAAGCTTTCTGTCTCAGTCATCTATACAGGCCACCAGTAGGGCTGGAGGCAGATCCAAACAGAAGCAAGAACACTACAAAAATAAGACCTTTCATAATTAATTTGTCACTTGCTGTCTCCATCTGGTGATGAAATACGCGATTTTGATTATATTATAGCTAGAAAATTAGTTATAATATCATGAAGCAGAAAGAAAACTAATTAAACAGCCTACCATTCTAATAAGATTTCTTCTAATTAAGCGTGAAAATCAAATAATTAACACCAATAAGGATAAAAAATAGATTCATGTGTCTCTGACATGACTGCACATATTCACAAGTTGAAGATGACATGTAAATTAATCAATTGCAGCAAAGAAATCAACAGCCTCTTGTATCAACAGGTTAGCACTTATTTGCGCGCCGAGTCCAGTACATCCCAAATTAATAAAAACATGCTTCCCATATATAGCAAGAATTAGAAGAACCTAATTGTTAAGATCATCAACAGCAAAACAGCACATAATTGACTATGATATATATATATATATATATATAAGCTGGCTATATGGTGTAGTTAGTTATAAACAATCGTACATGGATCGTATATATACTGTATTTATCATGTGCAGCAAAGTTAGGGTTAGGGATAGATATAGAGATGGAGTTTGATACCGATATTAGAGAAAGTGAATAAAAGAGGAGAGAGAAAGGGGGGCAGATGGTGGGTGTGACAGATAGAGAGTGAGCACGCATAGTTCCAAGCATAAACCATGCAAGAAAGTACCATGTGTGCTCACTCTCTTCTGTCACCTCCCTTACCCTTCAAATTCTCCATTTGAAATCTTATTTGCAGATATAGCTCTGATCCACCTGCAACCTCCAATAATCGGATCATTTCAGAGAAAAATTAATTAAGGGATTAATTTGGGGGAGATAGAACCCCTCGTTGCCTCCCCTTGAAGCCAAAACATGTTGCCTTTCTAGGGAAGCTTGCATAGAATGTTGCTGTGCGAAGAGGCCATGAGGATGATGGGGTTTATATAGAGCTGTAGCCTGTGAGAGTTTGCTATCATCACGTTTGGAAGGAATATATGTGGGTTTTATCCCATTGGTCATTCCATATTATTTTAAACATCTTGCAGAAGAGAAAAAGAGAAAGCAGAAACCAAAAGAAAAGTGTGGAGACTTAATTATTTTACCTTTATCTATCATCCATGCCCATAAGCAATGAACCACTCACTTATCCTTATTGATGCTACCCAAGGCATCACTGGTAGTTCTTTTTCTTTCTTTCTTTCTTTCTTTTTTTAATCACTGTCAATTTTATTCCATCTCTTGCTTCGTTCGGACTATGTCTCCTCGATCCATGGACAATATTATTATTAGCACGCTAGCTCCTTTAATTTGTTTTGACTGGATTAATTTGAGAAATCGAGCCCGTAAATCAGTATGTATTGACTATCCAATCATTGCTTGCTTAAACATCACACGAATTTTGCTGCTATCAATTAGCCCTCTCGGCTCATTAAACCCTATATGGTCCATGAATGCCCGAGTGATCCATCTCGTCCCTTAATAAAGAGTATACGAAACAGATTAATACAGATTCATTATTCGTCATCCTAAAATTTGTTGAAGCTCTGAGTAGGGAAACTCATTCTATTAGAAAAGGCATATATAGAGCGAGTTAAATTAGGGTGGTAATAAGGAACTATATAACGAATTGTCAGAAACTAATTTGCGCCAATTTATAATAGTTTTCATCAGGCACTAATAAAGCTAGGTGAAAAGGTTCGGGATTATATTGTAGTTAATTTTACTCTGATTTCCATTTCCTCTCTCTCATAAAATGTATATGTTGTCATCGTTCATGTTCTATCTCCTTCAAAGATTGTGCTGCTCAAATTAGGTCTTTGATTAAGTAAATAAAAATCTGATCATGAGCCCTAGAGTTCATGCTCATGAAAAGCAATTGCTATACATGACTGCTTCTGCATGAATAGTTGCTATCAGTGGCGGAGCCAGGATCCTGGGCAAGGAGGGGCAAAATTATTTACATATTTATAATTTAAAAAATAATAAAACATTATTTAATAATTACATACTTTATAAATTTTCTCTACATGATTTCATATTTTGAAATCATTGAACAATCAACTCATTATCAATGCTTTTAAATATTTCTTTTTCAATATAAATAATGAAACAATCATTCATTCATGGTTTGCTCATTCAATTATGCAACCATTTTTCACAAATTTCATAATAGAAAAGGCTTTTTCAACCGATTCCTTTTTCAAATTTGATTTGAGATTTCAAATGACACGAGCTAGTTTATTTTTTTCTTATTTTCTTAAAGGTTTAATAAATGTTAATTTTTTATAAAATCATATTACTATTAGGGTATATTGAAATTGTGAGCTAAAATTTATTGGGCTTTTGAGTTAAAAAATTAATTTTGGATCTGAGTTAAAAAAATAACATGAAATGAGTTTAAAATGTAAAATATAAAAAAGAGGAAGTGCAAAATATAAATATCCTTATCCCATCTAAGTAATTTTTTCCATTTGAGAGGGGGCATATGCCTCCTCAATTACACGTGGCTCTGCCACTGGTTGATATTAAGTCGTGATTAGTGGTTTGCAGGATTTTGGTGAGTGATTTGATTCAAAACTGAAGCAGCGAGGAAGAATAATTAAGTTGAATGAAAGAATGAGAAAGGGAAGGTTCTTGTTATGCGAATTGTCAAAAACGAAGAATGTGACAGAAAACATAAATAATGAAGGAATGTTCAAGACACCCTTGTAATTCCCGCGATATGAGCTGGAGATCGAATTGGAGGCCGACGCATGGAACCATATAGTGGCAGGTCCCTCTTCCTTTAATAAAACAGCTCACCCCCCCAATTACTGATCATCAACACACACACACACAGACCCAGCAGTTTAAAGTATAAATGCTTTTGCTTTATCTTAATTAAACCTTTATTATTGATGCAAAAGCAGGTCATTGACGTTAATGTTCGAATCTATCGCAACAAGTGCGTGCCTTGCGGGGACGTCATGCCACATTAATTCCCCATTGCTATTGCATAATCAATATATATTTAATACTGCACTTGATACTTTGCTTTATTTACTTAAATTAAACCTGAAACCACTTTGATTGGCCAACTCCCTTGTGCTTTAGATACGCATGCAGTATAGCCTCTTTAATTATTCGAGTAAACAAACTAACTCCATCACACACACATCAGGCTTAATGATCATACTGTATGGAGACCAGACAGCAATGCTAAGTACGAGTGATTTTATATATATATATATATATATAGACATACACATATGATATTAATGTTTGATTATATATGAAATTAATGATGAGACGAGGTGTGAGGTACCAGAGGGCTTTCCGAATAAGGACGAGGCATACGAGGTGAGCGTTTCTAGACTTAACCATTTTGGGTGATCGGAGAGGATGAACAATATGCAGCACGCTGATTCTTTCTAGTGTACTTTGTGACTTTGGCAGAAAAAAGGTAAAAAAACATGTAGATTTAAACTTTAATTTTTGTTGAATAAAGAAAGTAGGACCACTTGCAACGATCAAACAGGTATGATGATGATAAGCATCTTGGTGTGGCATGGGAGTGATGGGTGGAAGCTGATGGGTTGTGTGTCTTTTACTTTTTGGGTAAGGAAATTAAAGCCTGGTATATGTTTTTTTAGCAGATAAAGAGATGGGGCTTTAGAGAGAAGCACGTTGCAGAACACTTTCGGCAAGCTGAGGCGGGGAAGCCGCAGAGAGGAAGTCAACAAAGATTAGCGACAAGTGTGGTACGTGTCATTTTAGGGTAAGGCATGCTGCGAAGAGGATCAGATATACTGGTCCCAACGATATATACGGTTGAGCTATAAGCTTTAATAAATGGGCTCCCACACTGGCCTGGAAGGATCGATGAATGGCATCAGAGAGAAAGAATATGGTCAAATTCATTCAATAATTGATGAAACGAATATGACATTCTTGCAGCCCCACATCTTATGGTTGGGGAGTTGCCAAGAATTCTTCATCAAGTGGGTGGGTGGTGATTATTCCATATTTTATATATATATATATATAGATATGCTGACTGGGGAACGATAACGATAAAACCTAATCCTTCCTGCTCATGCATAAACTGTGGACGAATGCGATCCTCTTTATATATCCCCTGTTGGTGTTCTCTGGGAACTTGCAAATACAGTATATATGCACACTGTTCCAGATATTTTTACTTGCCAGTTGCCACTATCAAGTTTTGTCTTCGATTCTTATTCAGCTGTCATATTCATCTCACGATTGCCTAATGATTTGGATCTGTACTGACTACTGACTGACGCACGTTCATATCAATCAAACAGTGTGTCTTGATGTATACGCAGTGCAGTAATAACTTTTAATCTTCCAACGTGAAATACGAGCAATGTCAAAGCTCGAAATGAAAGCTAAAGGTAAATTTTGAATTTTGATGTATATCCGCCGCTGCAGAGTCGCCGCATTTCTGTTCTATCTCCTTCAGAAATTTTACCCTTAGTTTAGTTCTTTTTAAGGGGGAGAGAGAAGAGAGATACATTCATGTACACACCCAGATATATTAATGTTGGGTAATTGGGTTTGAATAACCCTTTCAATTTCAATGGCAGCAGATGACGTCATCACTCATACAACTAATCATTAACCTGCTTTTCTCTCCCTTGAGGTATAAAAATAGGAAGAAATGATATAAAGTTTTTAAGGAATCAGTTAATTTAAATCAAACTTCAAATATTAAATTGTAAGAATTTATAAGTTTAAGTTTCAATTTAGTAATTTTGTTATGATAAAGTTGTAATTTATATTTTAGATTTTAATAAAAAAATATAACTATGTTAAAGTTTAAAAAATAAATCATAAGTTCATCACAATAAAATTATAAAATTAAAAAATAATTTATAAATTTTTAAAGTTTAACATTCAAAATTTAATTTAAATTAATTAATCTTCTTGAACCTATATGCCATTCTCCCATAAAAATATAGTTAACATGCGCAGATTAGGGAGATAATTGGTGAAAATAAAGAAAATAGGGAGAATGACGATTGAGGACCCCCTAAGGACATTAATTCCAGTTAGGGATCCTGAAAAATAGAAATTTCAATTAAAGATATGGTCTTTAAGTGGGATAAAAAACAAATTTGAGTTTACAAAACTGTCCCCTCACTAAACATTGAAAGGTAACAGGAAAGAAGCTCATCTCGTGTGCTCTGTTTTCTTATTTTTTCAGTGGAAAAAATACTGATGGAGTGTGCTCTCGTGCGCTGAAAATGTTAGGAAAAAATTAGTGGAGCATAATCGTCTTCTAATAGGTAATTGTATGCATTGCTTCTTTTACATTTCGTCCTCTACCATGCATGAAAGTGAAGTCTGCATCTTCTTCTTCCATTTCTTTTCCATTACTCTGTTTTCTTTTTTTACACATGTCCTCTGTCATGCACGCACAGAAAGAATGTTTTAATCTTTGCAAATGCTGTCTTGCACCATTTCTCTTTGTTTTATACCTAGAAAAAAAAAGTAGTCTTCTTAATGATTACTAGACTTTATATATAGACATGCGAAAGAAATGATTTCCGAGAACGACACAGTTAAAAAAGTTGAGGAGTGAAAAACAAGAAAAATGTAACATGGATGCTGAATTTTTATGATCTGTGTTGAAAAGTACGTGAATGTTGAAAAATGTAACATAGATGTTGAATTTATGTAGTCAAGGTTGGGATTATGGAATGGACAGTTGTGAAGTATTAAATTTGTATGTTGCTTGTAATTGTTCCAGGTTTATTTCCCATATGGCAAGTACTTCAGCAAAAGAAGTATTTTGTTATCTTCATGTTGATGGACATTTTGTAAAAGATTTACAAGGGAAGATGACCTATGAAGGTGGGAGGTTAATTTCTAAATTGATTAGAGAAGGCATAAATCATGAAGAGCTGTTGAGGATGGTGTCATCAATGATAGGAGTTGAAAGTGGTGCAGCTGACTTAAAATTTACAGTGAAGTTTAGTGAAGACACATACATAGATTTGTTAAACGATGAGGGAGTACAACATTTGATAAAGTATAATGATGAGTCAACACATGTGTATGTTGAGACAAATGATAATGAAATAAATGGAACAATGGATAACTCGATGGAGTAAGTTGTTATTCTTAGTTATTTATGTGTTTAATTAGTTTAATGATCATTTATATTGACCTGTAAGTAATTATAAATGTAGGATGGAGAATTTGTTAACATGGTCACTGCCAGGATCTCCCTGTAGGCAAGAGCTTGAAAGTATATCACCCGCTTTGCCATGTTCAACATAAAATACTTTGCACCACTGCCTGAGGTTAATTCAGTCAAATGAAAGGATTTATTTATGGGTGTTGGCCAGACATTTGATGATGCAATTGTATTCAGAAAAGTACTATATAAATACAGCCTTGCTCATAGGTTTGGTTACATATTTGTGAGAAACAGCCCTAAGAAGATGATTGTCAAATGCAATATTGATGGTTGTAAATGGAAGATATCAGCTTATGCTCTTAGGAAGACAACCTCTATATTGTGTATGAAAAAATTCCACAATGAACACATGCACTCTGCTCAAGACAACCTCCTATTAAAGCAAAAGGCTAACTCAAGATTGACATCATCAATCATCATTGATGCTGTGAGGGGGAATGTAGAGAAAACTTCAAATGAGATTAGACAAAACCTCTACAAAGAGTATAGGTTAAATCTCACATATCGACAAGCTTTGAGGGAAAAAGATAGAGCATTGGAGGAAATACATGGGCTTCCACAAAAATCATACATGTTGATTCCATGGCTTTGTGAGAAATTAAAGGAGACGGACCCAGACACAGTTGCAAAGTGGGTTGCCTCGACAAATTATAGATTTGATAGACTTTTTATTGCATATGGATGCTGTATCAAAGGGTTTCTCCAAAGTGCTCATCTAATTTTGTTTATCGATGGAAGTTATTTAAGCGGTCTATATAAGGGGACTTTGCTAGCAGCTTCTGTAATTGATACAAATAATGACTTATTTCCTTTGGCTTATACAATAGTGGGTGGAGAAACATATGATAATTGGGCTTGGTTTCTTGAAAATGTGAGAGAGATCACACACCAAGTTCAATTGACCATAGTGTCAGACAGGCATAATGCTATTGTTGGTGCAGTGCATGCAATATTTGATGGCAATCGACATGCTTTTTGTTATCATCATGTCAAAGAAAATTGCAGCTCAGAATTTACAAAAATTAATAGAGGCAAGTGAAGGATTGATGGGATGACCAAGGAAGATGCACTTAAGTTGTTAGATAATATTGCATATGTAAGGTTGGAAACAGAATTTCATGTTGCTATGGGTCATTTGATGGTTTTCTCTCCACAGTTGGCAAGATGGTTAGAACCAAATGGGGACATAAATCGTTAGGCGTTAGCAAGATTTTCATACAAAAGATGGGACAATATAACATTAAACCATGCTGAATCTTTCAATGCTTGGTTAGTGAAAGAGAGAAAACATCATATATGTGTGTTGATAAATGAGCACCGAGCAAAATTAGTGAGGAAGCTATACAATAGCAAAATAGAAATGGCGAATTGGTCAAACGGAGTTGGACCACGTGTTGAGGCAAAATTGAGGGAGAATGTATTGAGAGTTGAAGTTATGGTGGTTGAACATTATAGTGTGAATATGATACTAGTGAAGGTAGGAAACAATGACTTGAGAGTGAATCTAACATTGCGAGAATGCTCTTGTCAAGAATGAAAATGGTAGGAATTCCTTGTGCACATGCATGTGCAGCAATAAAATTAGTTCAGGGTAATGTGTATTCATATGTTGAAGAATGCTACACTATTCGTGCACAAGAAAAAATTTACAGCTCCACAATGATTTCAGTAGAAACCATTGACATGCCTCAGTTGACCGAGCTACATTATGAAGATTATGAAAAGAATACCTTTTTGGAACCACCACTGACTATACGTCCTCCAGGGCGACCACCTACCAAGCGAAGAGAGTTACAGTTTCAGAATAAAAAAGTGTATCATTGCTCAAGATGTAATCAAGCTGGACATACCAAGAATAGATGTAGGAATCCTAATCCAATATAGGGATTGAAAGGGGGTGAAAACCATATGCATATTAGTTAGTTTAAAATTGAAATGCATATGGTTTTTATTTATTTTGTGCATTTTGCTATTAAATGACCTTTTGTACAGGCAGCCACCTCATATGTTTTTGTACTTATGGAGGTGATAGGTTATGTAAATGGGATTGCAGTCCATGTTTTTTTTATAAGGACTGCATAGGTACCATTTAGGTAGTTGGGATATTTTTTGGGTAAAAAGGGATGCAAATATGGTGTACATGTATTGCAATCAATGTAATATAAAGCATGAAAATTTCAGGTCTAAATTTGTCTAAGTAAAAATGCTATCATGGCATAAGATTGTTGAATTCACTAACATAGTATAGGGATATTGCTAATGTAACTATTGACAACATAAAACCTTATTTGGGATTAAAATTTTGTGCAGTATTTCAGACAATTAAGAGACTTGTCAGATAATAGGAATCAATAACGTTGATTGGCAATTTCATATCCAAAGCAAGAAAAATTTCTACCATAAATTGTGAAATGAATAACCCCACTTAGGTGTCATTGTTTATCAGAAGATACCTGTCAAAAATCGAGATCCGGTAACCTTACTTGAGAATTCCCTAACCTGAGTTAGAAAAGTAGCTAATGTATAATGTGAAATGTCCTGACATGAGTTGGGAACTCTTTTTTTTTTGTAAGTCTTGCCACAGATTGGGTTCCAAAAACCGCCATTGGAAATTCCCTAACCTACCTTGCAAACATAACTAACGTATGTTGTGAACGTGCCTAAAGTGACTTGGGAATTCATTGTTAAAGGATAAGTATTACCACAAGTTGGGTTCCAACAAAGTCACTTGAGAATGGCCTAACCTAACTTGGGAAAAAGGTGAATGCATGTTTTGAAAGAGCCTAATGTGACTTGCGAATTGACTGCGTAAGGATAAGCTATTTGGCACAAGTTTTGTTCTAGCAACCTTACATGAGAATTTGGTAACTTAAGTTGGAAAAGTAACTAACATATGTTGTCAAAGTTCCTAATGTAACTTGGAAATTTATTATTTGATGGAAACCGATGTGGCACAAGTTGGGTTCCAGCAAAGTCTCTTGCGAATGTCCTAACCTAACTTGGAAAAAAGCTGCATGTATGTTTTGAAAGAGCCTAACATGAATTGGGACTTCATTATGTAAGGATAAGCTGCTAGGCACAATTTGTGTTCCACTAACCTCACTTGGAAATTCCATAACATATATTGTGAAAAACCGGACGTCAGTTTTAAAAGTAACATGAGTCAATGAAAATCAATAACAGTTTGTCAAATTTCTTGAACATGTAGTCAAAGTTTTTTTTAAATTAATTGTTGTATCATATACAAGAAGTCACTGAAAAAAACTTAATTACATAAAGGTTTAATTTACATATCACAAATGTCTGCACTATGATTTCAATCTTTTGGACCATGAATGCCCAGCATTCGAAATGGACGTCATGACTTGAGAGCCCACTCTGTTGTGTGGATGAGTCACCAACCAATACAATACCTGACTCCTCATTTCACTCAATTGTTCCTATACAATCAGATAAAGTCAACTCACAAGATAGAAAACTGTCACACATAACAAATTATATCTTAACTTTAACATTTGTTCCTACCATTGTTAGAGGAAGCATAGTAAGGCCACCCCATTCCTCTCGTGCAGTATTATTCCACTGTCTAAGGCAAAAGATGACATACATTCCACAATCAGATCTACAAAAAATATGAAATCTATCAGCACGTAGTTGAGAAATATACACTTAATTACATGTACACAATTTCAGCTTTTTTACTCACGTCGTCGGTTGCTGTTCTATAGGCACCACTTTCAACTCAAGGTCATAATTGTCATCAACAAGTTCAGGTTTCAGTTTCATTAATATTTTTACAAACCTGCTCTTCTGAGAATAAGAATAAAGTGAATAAGAAGCTTTTACCAACAAAATTTTATATATCATTTTATGGGAAAAGGCATACCATAAAATATGCCATTTTTTCCTTCTCTTTTGACAACATCGCTTCCTTCGCTTTCTTTATATTCTTCTTTTTCTTCTTTGATTCTTTACCAGATGGTAGCATCGAGTCCAGCACATACATTGTGGCTGTTTTCAGCTCCACAACATAGCAAAACCAATGCAATGCAAACACTATAAGGAAAAAAATAAAATCGCAATCTCCTATGTTATACCCGATAGTAGTTGGCATGAAGTCCTTCAAATGGCTATCCAAGTCCCATCTTTTTTGTTGGTGGATTATGGTTCCCTGAAATGAAAAAAATGTAACACTTGTAACTTGTAAGCACCTAATAAAACAAAGGAATTAAACTGTAAGACAAATCGTAAAATCTGGATAAAAAATATGTCGCCGCACAAGTTGATCCTTTTCCTTTTGCTCATTAACCAAAAGTCTTCCAATTAATGTAACAACCTATATAATAAAATTACAGTTACATTAAAATTTTACTGTAACTTGATCTATTTTAACTAGCACACTTGCTCACCGAACTACTGATCCATTGTCTAGGACCTAGATACTTGCATTCATATCTTGTCACATAATACTGCTCAATCTCCACAATTTTCCTGTTACAGAAAATAAAATTATATCAACCAATCGATTATGAATGCATGAACTAGTAAGGTAAAATATCATACTCATATCCCTCATTGGGTGGAATAGACTTTGTACAATATTGGTAAACTTCTTTCTCTGTACATTATCCTCTTTCTTCATGTCCTCTTTTTGCCTTCCCTCTATCATCCAAAACGGGTGAACGAATAGTGCTGACGATTTGTCGTTGTGACCGTCTTAGTGTTCTTTCACCCTTAGAGTCTTTTTTTCTAATTGGCTTTTCTACTTCTTCTTGTGCACCCGATTCTCCCTCCTTTTCTTTTTTATCTCCTTCTACTTGTCCCTTCTCTTCTTCATTTTCATCTTCTCTGGGTCCTCCTTCCTCTTCATTTTCATCTCCTTCTACTTGTCCTTCCTCTTCTTCCTTCTCATCTTTTCCGAATTCTCCCTCCTTTTCATTTTCATCTCCTGTCTCTTCTCCTTCCTCTTCTTTGTCATCATGTTCCAACTCTTCCTCCTCTTCCTCTTCACCATCATGCTATTCAACAACTTCCTCTCCTCTTCTTTTATCTTAGAGCTTGAGGAGTCTTTGTGCAATTTCACGTGTAAAGGTCACAATATCTCTGTATACCTCTTTTATGTCCTGCACTATATAAAATGTCATATGTTTAAAATTATATAAAAAATAACTTTGCTAATTAACAACCATCATTTTGTCCTTACCGGATCATAAAATAAAGTCATTTCTGAAAGCTCTACTGAGAAGCTGTCATGTCCTCGAGAAGGGTGATACAAAATGCCATGATCACTTTCCTTCTCAAGTTGAACTCGTGCTGTCACTCTCTCCTCTGTCCAATGTTCTAGAGCATCTTCTTGCGATGACACCACAATTGGCTCCAATGGAAACATTTGAAAGTAGAAAATCTGCATATTTACATCTATATCATATAACCCATAAAATTTTGCAAAATAATTAATTTATAACAAATTATATCTTAATTTACCTACATACCGCAAGAAGAAATAAGCATCCTCTAACAGTTTTTTTGTGCCCATCTTTCTTCTCTCATACTTTATATTCGGCTACCTCCTTTCCAAGCTCAAATAGATAAAAGATGACCAATCATAATGTACAGTTCCCAAATTTAACCCGGACATGACTTTCAATAGTTTATCATTTATTTTGGAACTCGAACTTAGACAAAGAAAATTCCCTAAGCAATAGAGAATGAAGAGAAACTCAAATTTATCATTTTCTTTCCCCGAGAGTATCCTATCCTTAATTACATTATAGGATACTTTTTTAAACTCCTTGTTTAACAACTTTAATTTATTCTTATCCCCATTCATATAAACTATCTTCCCATCATTAGGCAAGCCAACTAAGGCATGAACTGCTTTGCCATTGATGACTTTCCTTTGACCTCTAATGAAAAGGGATGATGTAGGAGGATCAAATGCTTCATCACTTCATCGCATAAATCTCTAGGCAACTTGTGACATTTAATATTTAAAAAAGCTTACCAAATCCTATTCTATTAACCCTATCCCTCAAAGAT